ACAGTAGGCTGTTGCTGATGGTATTCCGTCAATGTTGGTCGAGTGTCTGGCCTAGAAAACTATTTATAAATACTTGTACCTTCTTGATGATGGTTGTAGTGGTTCTCCAAGTTTTAGCTCCGTACAGTAGAACTTTCTTTACGTTTGTATTAAAGATTGTGACGTTGATATTAGTTGAAAGTTGCTTTGAGTTCCATATGTTCTTCAACTGTAGGAATACGGCCTTTGTTTTGCCAGCCCTCGCCTCTACGTCTGCATCCGATCCTCCACATTGATTGATGATGCTTCTCAAGTACGTGAAGGTTTCCACATCTTTCCGAGTTTCGCCATTAAGCGTGGTTGCATTTGAGGATCTTGGTTCTTCCTTTGTGCATGTTGGGCCCACTGATGCAAAGGCTGCTGCTTCACTACTTGTCTTTATCTACATTTCTTTGCGTGTATGGGAAAGAGGGCTAGGTATCTGTGATGTCTAAACCGTCTAATTGGTTCTGAGCTATCCATTTCATTCCGTGTTTCCCCTTCAGATGTCGAGGTCTTCATAATCCAGTTGATCACTAGAAGAAAGAGGAAGAGGGAGAGTAGACAGCGTTGTCTGACTCCAGACCTTACTTGGAATGCGTCAGTCGGCCGTCCTCCATGCACTACTTTGCACTGGAGTCAGTCATGTGAGTTGCAGATAGTGTTGATAATCTTCTCAGGAACTGTAGTGTCGAAGAAGCTTCCATGAAGTTTTCTTAACTACATGTATTTCTGTATAGATCTCTCAAGTTTTTATCATTTACAGCACAGCATGATCCTAGTTAGACAACTGTTTAACACCACGAAATATGAAACTGCTACTTTATTCAAGTGTGGGACAGTTTAGTGGAGCACATCCATGACTCCAACATGGTGGATCAAACTCAGGACGTTTAGATCTTAACCTCTACTCTTGAAGTAAGTAACTGACATGGTTGGGCTTTACTAGTCACAGCTTCTCATCACTAGAACTACTGGAATTGCGTCCACCTTAGGCAATGGAAGACAGTCACTCAATATTACAAAATGATTGAATTTCGACATGTAAACTTTTGAATCCCAAGTAATTCATTTACATGCCCATGAATCATGACGAAACCTGAAGGTGAGGACGTGAATATGCTCCACTAATAAGTGGCATGCTAACGCTGATACAGATTTCAGTTAACAATGTAAAATGTACCAAAGTTAAACCTTCAACAAGTCAATTGTAACTTGAATAACTAAATAGTAATGTCTCTGAACCGGTACAATTAATTGAACTCATTGAAAACAGTACATATTCTTTCATTTCTATAAATACACTATACTGACTAATCTTTAGACTTTTATGTCAATTGTCTTCATCCATTTAACCTCAGTACATTTTACGTGTAATTTTATGTATACATAGACATTATTAACGATTCTAAGTCTAAACTTCAACATTTTCTTTTCAACATCTCTTCATTTTCAATTGTATTAAAACTATGTATGCATAAAATAAATTTCCAAATATTTATATCAATACTGTATAGCTTAGTTCTGTCTCTGTCATTTTTTTTCTTTTGTTACTCAACGTTTTCGTAACTATATATACACATATATGTATGTATCTAAGTTATTTCAAATTAATGACACTATTTACCTATCTATCTATCTGTCTATAAAACCGATGACTTATATTCTCAATAAATTGAAATCAGTAAGATTTATGCTTTCTAAATCAAATAATTTTTCACGCTTGACTTTTCATATTAAGATAATAACTTATAGTAATAATAATAATAATAATAATAATAATAATAATAATAATAATAATAATAATAATAATAATAATGATAATAATAGTAATAGTGGTAACGACTAATTATTCTCTTTCTATAAAATACTAACATACATTCCTTTTGAATGTAACAAATATGTTAGATGAAGGAAAGAAGAAGTTAGTTTACAATTTCATATCAAATTATTCATTCGCTTTACCTCTCTCTCTCTCTCGTTCTTTTCATTTCTTTCTATCAAATATTTCAGTACACCGGCATTGTTACTAATGATTTATCCTTTTTATATCACTTAACAACCAGTACCGCTATTGTTAGCTTTAATATGGTAAAATTTATTCAGCGAGATCATGGAGTGAAAAATATCAGGTCATTTTTTAATAAAAGTTAAAATAATGTTAGAGTATTACTTCTCATTTAAAATTAATAGTAAAAGGGTACTTTATTTGACTGTCTTTTTAATTTCCTTCAGTCATTTGTTATTTGTTTACAAAACAGGAATCCGACTGAGTGTTAGTTTCCTCTCTCTCTCTCTCTCACTTGCTAATGATGTCAAGTAACCGGCAATACATATATAGTTACTATGTTTTGCTTTCATTTCCGAGATCAACTAGATTTTATTTTAAACATTGTTTGTCTATCATTTTCTATTTTGAAAAAAAATGGAACTTGTTTTTCTTTGCTTTTCTGGAATTTTTAAATTGACTTGTTGACTTTTATCATAGAATAATATATTATTCTATTTTCTTTTATGCATATATCTTTGCTGTAATTTGATTGATGGACAACTAATTGACGATGAAATTAAATATATAAACTAATGTTCAGTAAACCTGTAGTTATCTAAAACGTTTTGTAATGTTCACGAATTATATCGAACTTGACACTTTTTGTCATATTTCTTTTTATTTAGCGAAGAGAATTCGTGCATATTAGAGTGTAATTTTCACTAAAGATATCATTTCAAAAATTTAGTGAGTCCCGCCTATGTCACTTGTGAACATGTTCGATGTAATGCATACTGATAAGGTGGATGAAAACTGTAATATAATAAACTTCAGAGCTTAAAATAAAATATACATTACAGTTTATAAAATATTCAGCAACTATCCAATAAAGAAACTGAGAAATTACACAAAATGGTGTATATGACACACTTAGTAAATACCGAAAACGTTGTGAATAATTGTAGATGAGTAAATTAAAACATTTACACTCAAGGTTACATCAAGCGTTACATTTATGATGAGAAAGTTATCTATTTGTGTAATAATATCTTAGGCTTAACGGACAAAAGGAATTAAACACTTTATAATAAGTGTGATTATACTACCAGCAAATGAACACTTAGTCGTTTTTACAAAATACTCTGAATGTTGTGAAAACAGAATGAAATTTGTTTGTTAAATATTGTAAATTTACAATTCTCCAGTATACAATGACAATAACGGGTCTGTTAATAACAATGATAAGCAATGTAAATGATTTTAAAAAGACAATAAGTAAATACTTTTAATGCATTCTGAAATGACTCAGTAAATGGATACATACTAAGGATTTATCTTGAACTAGGTGAATTCATTAAAATATGGTTATAACTCAGAATATAGAGATTCAATCATTACAAATTCTACCCGTTTCTTGTGTACGATTACGTGATGGTCTCCTCCTCTCTCGCTCTCTCGTGCTCAATTCGTTCATCTATATTTTTCACTATGAAACTAAATGAATTTTTACATGTTACATTTTATCCATCAATTGTGCTATTAAGTACGAACGTACAAAAAGAAATTATTTCACTTCATTTCATAATACTCTAATTTGATTATGAAAGTTTAAATTGATGAATGTAAATTATTATCAGAATGGGTTTGTGGAGATTTTTTAGAAATTTCATAGGTTGAAATCATGAGTCGATTGAAGCCAGACCACCATGGAAAACCTGGAAGTACTGGACGGCCGTTTCGTCCTAGTATGGGACTCTCCAGCAGTGCGCATCTATGATCCCGCACCCCGCGAGATTCGAACCCAGGACCTACTGGTTTCGTGTGGATCGTGGATGCGCTTTGCTGAGGAGTCCTATACTAGGACGAAAAGGCCGTCCAGTGCTTTCAGGTTTTCAATGGTGGTCTAGCTTCAATTGACTCATGATTTCAACCTGTGGAATGTAAATTATATTAAACTGTCCAAAATATCATATATTTTGTTATTAACAAAAGCAGATAATAGTTATACACAAAGCTTAGCATTAGATATAAATAATGTTTTTTTCCTTAGGAATGAGAGCTTTAATTAGTGGAATTATCTTTAGTACATTAAAACTGGCATATTGTCTTTAATCTTTGAATGACTCCTGTAATTATTCGTTACTAATCATATGGTTAATTATGAATTTGAAATATTTATATTAAGATAATTTATTTTACATACCTATAAATTAAGTTGAAGATGAAGTTTGTCTACTTCACAATTCATTTGCTCCCATTAAGTCTAGTTATAGTAAATAAATAATTAGATAAACCTATTAGGGAATTATTGAATACCATCCAACTTACATCAGTAATAATAATTACGAGGTCTCTACCAGCTCAGTGGATTTACAGAATGCATCAAATGAATGTGACTGAGGTTTTTCAAATTATCCATGATATTCCATTAGAATCAATCTACTGTCTATGTACATTCATTTTCTATACAGCTGAAATGGATTGCATCTATCGTAACAAGCTTTATCTATGTCACAATGATGAATCGATAAAACAAATCCCCCTTCTTAGTTAACTAAAACATCGCTCTCTCTCTTGTTACACAATCGGATATTATGTAATACATGTATTTTAACTCATTCACTTATTGGTTAACATTCTTGAATATTATAACTACGTAATTCTCAATAATTTAATTAATCGCGGACGCGCATTGCTGAAGAGTTCCACAATACGGCGACACGGCTGTCCAGTACTTCAAGGATTTTAATGGTGTTCCAATATCAATTTGCTCATGATCTCAATCAAAAACTTAATAATCTCCTCAACCCTGTACTAATAGTACCTTAACCATTAACCATAATTTTCATAAATACTTTTGAATTAGCAATAATTTTATTTTTAGTCATTATCACAACTGTTAACGATTTTTAGTTACAGATTTCATTGTAAGTAAAAAAAGAGGGTTTAAGAATAACCCATACACTCAGTTATATAAAACAGATTTACTTACCAACATATTGTCGAATTCCAATAAGACCAATGAAAAGAAACATCAATACCCCAGTATACTGATAGTTAAGTCTATCAGCAAAATCATCATCAAATCTTAGCCGTGATGATCCAATTCTTCCAAGCTTAGTTAATTTCCAGATGAACGTAGCATCCATTACTCCGCCTTGTTCGTGACCACCGAATGAATGACCACCGTGACTATCACCAACAAGACCGCCTACACCGCCTTCACCAACTTCACTATGTGTTGCACCTCCGCTAAATGTACGTGGGTGTGAATCAGATGAGTGTATATGTCCAGATGTGTGACGACGATAATCGTGCCCTCCGGATCTACGATGATCACCTGTTGGGAGAAAATAAAATAGAAAATTCGGTTTATTTTATACTAAAAGTAAAACTTTAACGTTTATTATCGGGACTCGTTCATGTGAAAAATATATGTATACTAGTGAAAGTTATTCTTTGACTAACTAATAGTACATAAGAGCACAAATAACTTACCGAAACGGTTCACTAATATATTCGAATCTGAGGCGTATAAAATATGACAGATTTTGACTAGAGCTGGATGGTGGCTAAGGATGGGACCCTGTATGCACTGGACGTACCTGAACCACAGAGACAGTGTTCAGTCCGGGACACTTGAAAAACATATGCAACTCAAAACAACTGTCAGTCAACGTCAGTCAGAATCTCTAATACGAACATCAAGATAGTTTTGTTGTATGGAGTGGAAACTTTGAGAACTAATACATTCATAATCGGAAGTGTACAAGCATTTATAAATAAGTGTCGTTGCAAGATACTCAATATCCGTTGACCGAATACCATGGGAGGAAACAAACCAGCCTCCATCTGAAGAGGAAATCAGAGAAAGACGTTGGAAGTGGATAGGACATACTTTGAGTAAATCATCTAACTGCATCATGAGGCAAGTTCTATCTTGGTATCGTAAAGGGAGGTGGAAAAAAGGGAGACCAAAGAACACACTACTCTGAGAACTGGAAACAGACATCGAGAGAAGAAGCAGTCACCGGGAACAAATCGAAGGGATCGTTCAGGACAAAGATGAATAGAGAATAATGATGAACGGCTCATGCTCCTCCATGAGGGTTAACAAGCGTAAGTGACTAAGTAGCATATTATTATTGTTCACATTAATTGCTAATATTAGAATATAGAATACTTATCATTTTGCTATTCAGCTGGGTCCACATACATTTCAGTACTGTAGGTGTTCTCATCGAAATTTCAACGTAATACTTACGTGTTAAAAGTCATATTGTTACGCACTAAACTGTTAAGTTACGACAGATTTAATTTGTTTATCAATCATTAAAAGATCGTCAAATATTACAAGCCAACTGGTAAAATAAAAACTGATGTATATTGAATTATTTAATCGAATTTGTTAACTAGACTACTTGGAAACTGACAAAAATAGACAATAAGTTCAAATATTTTTGTGTGACAGTATTGTGTAATTTGCATAGATCTAAAAACAATCCATCCTTTCAATTTTTCACAATGAAAACTAGATTTTTGGATAAGAATTATTGTAGTATGCATAATATATAATGTTATCACAGTGGTTTAAGTACTAGTATATTATTTGAATGTGAGATAATGTTCTATTTGAGTAAATATCAAATAATGTCGGATAGTGTAATATAACAATGATATAATTTTACGTTAGTAATTCCATAAATCGGTTTCTCGACTGATTAATACTGTAAGTTAAGGTATCACCCGTTAAATCAATTTAGATAAAAGCCAACACGAAGTTGTGTACACTCTAGAAAAAAAAACCTATGAATGGTAAGCCAAAATAACTCATTTCAATTATGTAAAATGATTGAAAAAAGAACAATAACATTGAAAAAATGTATACACATAGCTTGAAACTGACTAAGAACTACCGCTTCTATTACTAATCACTATTTGAATGTTCTGGAACTTTCCCTCTCAAACTTTATTTAACTGAAACAAAACTTTTTATGATCTTATTAACTATATTGAAATCCTCACCTCATTATAATACACATATTCATCTTTAATTACCTTCGTATATATAAGTATATCAATATTTGTAAGAACGTTGATTTCACAATATTGCAAGCCACTGATAAGAACCTAATGAAACAGAATATAATTCATATTATTCTGCATCAATCTTCATTGATGTTCTCTTTAACAAATTAAACCTTTATCAATGAATTTCTATCGGACAATAACATTATAAACTAATGGTAACACTAAAAGTATTTTACATCTTACATCATTTCAGAAATATTTGTAAAAAAACCAGTCAATAATGATGAAGGTATAGGTCTAACCATAATAGGGGACTGCATTTCACAGTACATTTTTTATTAAGAAAAAAAACATGATTTTGAGATGGTGGAGAAGATTTGTAGCTCAGATGGATGATTTTGGTGAAGTTTTGTTCTCTGATCAAACCATCCAGCTCAGAGAAAAAAACTCCACCAAAAAACATGATTATTTTTCTTTTCAGGAAATTGTTTATTTATTTATTGCGTATGATTATGTTGATCATTATTTATGATCCGTTTTCTCTTTTTTTTGTTTTTTTTTCGTTTGGCCTAATAAAATCTTCATGGGGTTCAGGGAATTATTTATTTTTGATAAAATGTCCAGATTGTTTGTTTTTTTTCAGATTTCCTAACAGACATTAAGAAATAGAAACCAACAATATGAATTTCTATTGTAAACGTATGAGAATTGAGTAAATCTAAATTATGAATGAATAATAAATAATTTTTTTAGTCATACAATGAAAAATGAAACGAAAGAAATAGGAAGTAACTATGGATGAATGAATGAATGAAAATGGTTGATTAATTATTTTATACAACTATAATATCAATACTACTATTATATTCATTTGTATGTTGACTGTTATGGATAATGATGAATGAAAATAGATTGATTTGAACAGATTATTTTGATCAGTTACTCAGTGGTTATAGTCTTTGTAAATAATTGAATAATAGTCAACCGGAAATTGGAAATACCAATATATATATATATATATATATATATATATATATATATATATATATATATATAGAGAGAGAGAGAGAGAGAGGCTGGGTAAATTCCTGAGAATGTTTAGTTATTTACATTTGCTTGTATAGATATAATTCTCATTTCACATGTGTTTATTCCATCATTCTATAAAAAGAGATCATTCTAAGAATTCTATTAAATTATATCTCGTGATTTTCATACTATTTTGTATAAACCTAATTCAACTTGAATACTAAATGAGACGCGTCCAAATTTTATGAATGGTGAAAGTCAATTTAAAACGACAGATCTATTTTACTAATGATTGTTGACTAATATGAAACGTAGATAAAGAGTCTCTTGACGATTACTTCCATTCATTTGACATGAGAACAAAAAAGAAAACACAAACCTAGATTTTACACTAGTAATTTTATTTGTAATCTATTTGGTATAAATTGATCAATATTAAAGGCTAGATGAAGTAATGTTGAACTCTAGGAATTAACCATTCACTATGTAAGGATTATTTGCCATCCTTTATATTCTTTGACATTATTTCATAATACATGACTACAATTGGAATTCTACCCAACTTTTTAGATATTTTTCAATTTTTAAATTATTTAAAATTCCCTTCTTCATTCTGTTTTTCAATGAAATCAACTCATCGACATACAATGTCATAATATAAACCTTTTTAAGCTAAGATGGATAGTGGTTAGAAGTGGAATCTAGAACGCGCGTTTTGTCTTATTTGGGACTCGTCAGCTCGATGTACCTGCATCCCAAAGTTCGTGTTCACTTCAGGACTCGGTCCAAATACCATCGCGATATCCACTTAGCTACTGAGTCCTGATAGTCACCTACTTGTATAATAGGGTGAAGTTTAAATTCACTTGGTGTTGTTTTATTTAGGGCTTTATCGAGGCAATCCGCACGGAATGCACATATGCCAACATGAGACTGATCAATTGCAGTCCTAAGTAACAATGAGAAGATACAAGTAAAACAACAGCAAGTGAACATATACCTTCGTTTTATTCTTTTATAGACAAACTTATTTTCTGAATATCTTTTTATCAATTTGGATTATAAGATAGGAAATTTTATTCATTGAATATCGTAATTTTCTTTCATTTTGGATCATGTTCTACTACATTCTAACAGATATTTCAAGTTATCTGTCAGAATAAATCAAAATTTCAACAGTAATCCGTTGTTTTGATAATTATATGTTTGAGTTAACTAGTTGTATTCAGTAATACAAGTGTAGTTTTTTTTATAACTTGTAGCCTTGTGCGCTATTAATATATAACGCCAATTAGAGAACAGTGATTTATCGATCGGACCAATGACACGTGAACCTGTACGAGCATTCTACAGTCCTTATCGGTCCATCTTCCTTCTTAGCCCTGACTGTTGAGTCCAAGGCACCAATCTCAGCCTCTGCAATACGAATCATGTATTCCAAACATACTGTGTTTATATATAAGCCGAACAGACCACATCTTACCACAAAATAGAAATTAACTTTTGTACAAAATTTAGTGGCTGTGAATGTGGGAGACTGTAATTAATAGATTGGGCAGAACTCAAGAACGCTAAATCGTATAAAAATAGTCTATGTGTTAAAATAAAGCTTATAATAAAAGTAACATGAATATGCATAGTTTAACCACTTAAGAATTATGTAATAAAAATATTTGTATCATATTGATCTATAAATAGTTCTCAAGAGTTTCCATTCATAATTCTCATCGGGATATAACACTTTTTATTACTTAAATTGAGACAATTTAATAGTGTACATCTAGAAGTTGAAATAAACATTGCCTCAATATTCAATTGTTACAAAACAAATATGTTTGATATCTTAATTCAAAACTCAAATTAAAATGATCTTAACAACAGTACTTCATTAAACATTTTCAGCTTTTAAGTTAATTGAAAATCTTTTAAATATGCAAACATTTTTTCAAATTGCTTTATACAATAAAAGATAGTTACAATTATTAAGTGGTTCATTAAATATTCAATGTAATTTTCATAACTTTAAAGTGTTTAAATGTATTGAGAAGAAAATTGATTGACGAAATTCATTTGAATCATTTTATAGTAGAATTGTTTCTATCTCAGTAGGTGTATTTACACTTTATTCAAATAATTATTTAATACAAGTCATATATAATGGTAAATATAGTTTAATATTCATTTTCAATAGTTTATTGTCTAAGTACTATTCTAGAGAAAATTGAAAGTGAAGATATATCTGAACATTATCTATCTTCCCTTAGACTTTCATCAAATTGA